ATTGAACTCGCAAAATTGACAATAGGTGCTTAAAAATCAAAACGTTACAAATCTTGTGAAGACGAAGGCTAGAAATCGAAACATAATCTTTACAAAAATCACAAGTTAAAACATAATGATGACTATTATGTTAATTAAAAACCATAACTTAGATAGCTAGCGCCCGCCAATTTCCAATTCCTGAAGCATTTAGTCGCACTACTAAAATAACAACACAGTGAGTAGGCAGATCTTGACTTTAATATTTATCTTATATTTGTAAATTAGAAAATAAATTAATTAATATGTATTTTTTATATCATTTTCATATGCTTCTATGACAAAAGGACAAACCAGATAAAAGAAAACAATTTAGTCACACTACTACAATACTGACGATGTGAGGAGGCAGATCTTGACTTTAATGTTCGTTTAATATTTTTTATTTGGAAAATAAAATCAATTCATATAATTTTTATCAGTGACAAACCAAAAATAGAGTAGCAAAACAGAACAAGACGAAACAAACAAGAAACATAGACAACCAGCGCACAAGATTCTCAAAATAGGTCGACCACAAAAAGCAATACAGAACCTCCTCAAATAAGCAAACGAAAGACCAAACAATCAGCATAATAAAACCAAAGAAAGCCTAGAAAAACACAACGGAAACCATCAAGGAATTATGAGGAAGTATAATGGCGGTCAATATGTACTGTGCATTATTAGGCAAGATTATGAATTTATGACAGTGGGGAACTAATTCAGGAAACTATATAAGGATCCCGATGGCGATGAAGGCCGGACAACGACAACGACGTTGATAGCAGCACTGATTTGGATATATCCTTAGCGCTGCATCGGTCACCATGACGAGTTTGCGATTTTCTACGGCGTTTGTAAAGTCACGTTTTTATGTGGCGTCGGTTGATGGCGGGGGAATACAGGACTTTCTAATGTTTCAGAATATACGAATTTATATAGCGCACGTGCATTAACGCGTAAAATCTACGATATAGCTGACAAGGGGGAACTAGATATAGGGAGATGCAATGTGGTGCAGGATTGCTTGGTCACGTGAGTAGAGATAATGAATGAGTGAAGAAAGGTCAAACAATGAGGTCTGAGGTAAAATTTAATTACGAATAAAGTAGTACACTAGACACGTCGGGCTCATGTCCAATAATGCTAGCTAGTTTATTATGTAACTAATAGTTAACAATAAATAAATTATTATAAATAATACATCATTAGCCATGTGGGTCGGGGTGGCAGATGTTGACTTCTCCACCAACCATCTCGTATATATAATATATATACACCCCACGTCGAGAAAGTATAATTTAAGTAGGGAAGTAAAACCCGGATCCGGATGGAAGTAAACATCTTTTTGCAGCCCTAAGTGTTGTGGCGTACTGCAACACTTAATAGTGATAACCCCATGGAAGTCAAGATCTGCCTGCGTGCTCAATAATATAGCCTAGCTAGCTAGTTGATTACTATTATTATATTGTTTTTGGCGGTCACTATATATATAGCAGGTGAAACATGACCTTAATTATCTGCTCAATCAAACACAAAACCAAACGAGCCAACAGTCGATCTCACCAATCCAACCCCATAAAACATCAAAATGGTAGCCGCCGCCCAGGATCTGTTCGCCGAGCGAAAAGCGTTCGACGAAACGAAAGCCGGCGTTAAAGGGCTGGTCGATTCGGGCATCACCGAGCTCCCACGCATCTTCCATTTCCCCTCGCACCTACTCGACAAGAGGCCTACGGCTTCCGCCACTGATCCCGACTTTGTCTTCCCGATCATTGACATGGAAGGGGCAGCGCTTGATCCTGAGAAGCGGAGCAGGGTCGTGGCCCAGATCCTGGAGGCTTCAGGAAACTGGGGGTTCTTCCAGGTGGTCAACCACGGAGTCCCCCAGAGAGTGCTGGAGGAGATGAAAGCCGGAGTCCACAGGTTTTACGAGCTGGACATCGAGGTGAAGAAGCACTTCTTCACCCGAGACCCGACCAAAAAAGTCGTCTACAACAGCAACTTCGACTTGTACGATGTGCCCGCCGCAAGTTGGCGGGACTCCATCGTCTATCATATGGCCCCCGATCCCCCCAGCGAGGATGAGCTCCCCGCTTGCTCCAAGGATATCCTGATTGAGTACTCGAGGGAGTTGCAGAAGTTCGGGGATCTGCTCTTCCAGCTCTTGTCCGAGGCTCTCGGCTTGGGCCCCGACCACCTCAAGGAAATGGGTTGTGCTGATGGACTGCTAGTCGGCTGTCATTTGTATCCACCCTGTCCCCAGCCAGAGCTCACCATGGGAGTGGACATTCATTCCGACATCGACTTTGCTGCGGTGCTCCTGCAGGATGACATCGGAGGGTTTCAGGTCCTTCATCGGGACCACTGGGTCGATGTGCCTTCCTTGCCCGGAGGTCTCATTATCAACATCGGAGATATGTTTCAGCTGATATCCAATGACAAATTCACAAGCGCCAAGCACAGAGTGTTGGCCCAAAATGTCGGCTACAGAGTGTCGGTGCCATCCTTCTTCAGCTCTGGCTTTGCCCCCAATCCGAGACTGTACGGGCCCATCAAGGAGTTGTTATCGGACACCAATCCTCCCAAGTACCGAGAGACCACCATCCAAGACTACCGCGCCAATTTCTACGCCAAAGGCCTTGATGGCATCTCCAGGTTGCTCGAGTATAAGCTCTGACCACCTCACAAGTTAGCACACAATGGGCACTCGGCCGCCTGCTACATGTTGCCCAGATTCCGAGGTCGATAGTGCAATCTCATCCATCTCTGCTACAACGTAACTATTATTATCATGATGATAATAATAATGGTTTCATGAATTTGAGTTTAATTTAATCTCCACCGTCGGTAGTTTGTTTTCGTCTTCACCTTGTTGCCTTCATTTTTATTTTATGCTACTCTGTGTACCCACCGCTGCCCAAAAAAAAAAAAGTTTTATTATATAAGGTCTTAGCTTGTTGGACCACTTTTGTGCCGTAAGTATTGTATTTTTATTTCCTTTCTTTCTCATACATATATACTGAAAGTGAGTTTTATCCATTTTTATAGCGATCCGTCCGTCTACTCGGGCGATCGGTAACATATGCCTACCTATGCTCCCAACTCTGGCCGGTAGGATGAGTATATATGGTGCAAGGACTGCATAGTTAGAAACAGAATTCTCATTATCATGATGCAAACAAATCAATTAATTAAAAGGATAAGTTTGGATGCACGGTTTCTTACCAACTTTTCTCCCCATAGCCACTGTTCACCCAATCAACGGTCGCACGTCGAAAAAAACCCACAGATCAGTGGTCGCCTGAGCCCAGTTTTCGTTGCTTCCAGTTCACCTACACAACTGGGAAGTCCTCTTTGCAATCGGAAAATTGGTCTGAAGAACGGCTAAATTGGATTATCACACAGAGAAAATGGAGAGGGGCAAATTTTCGCACATCGCCATAGATTTGGATATGACAAATCCTATTCCGACTCGCGTCCGGCTAGATGGAATTTTGCAGCAAGTTCTATGTGAGAACCTCCCAATCACTTGTTACTCTTATTGAATCACCAAGAATAGTAGGAGTTGTTTTCACTCTTTAATTTTCTCTCCTTCAATTTAAGTTAGATCTTTAAAGTGGTTAGATGCATTACTGTATAAACATTATATAGATAATTTCTTAAATCTAGTTTGACTCTTTATCTCATTTAGGGCCATCCAATGGATCGTGTAGGCCCTGCTTCAAAATTTGAAATGTGGTACAAATTGACTCTTTTTATCTAACAAGGTTAAAATGATTACATCATTATTATGTGAAATCTAATATCTTTCTAACATTGTTTAAACTAATATTATCTATTATCTCTCTAATTTTTGTATTCTATATGAGATAATTTTCAATTGTTATCCTAGTTATTCAATTAAGATTTTTGTAATTATTATTTTTTAATACAAACAGGATTCGCAAAACACAAGAAATACTATAACAATCAATATACTTATCTATCGTACATATAAATGAGAATATCAACCAATGAGCAACATTAATATACTTATCCAGCGTCCAAACATCCTTCTCTGTTTGAGCCCATGCGATTGTATTCTTCTTCTCCTCCTTTAGGTCCCTTGACTATCCGTATTCGTCTCGAGTGGTTTATAACGCTGAAAAGTACAAAACAACACCATAAATGCATCAAATAGTAGAGAAACACACTCAAGGTCTATCATAAGCTCATTATTCAAATAGTTATTAATTTCATATGAAATATAGTCAAAATCACTAAACATGCATTGATAGAAGAGTAAAATGTAACAAATATGAGATTGGTAAACACTATAAATGAAGTGCGATGATGGAGTGTGGTGTTGGGATCCGCTTGGGAAAATAAAAATGATTAAATTAGTGTAAGTACTTGGTTAATATGGCCGGTAGGATGAGTATATATGGTGCAAGGACCGCATAGTTAGGAAACAGAATTCTCATTATCATGATGCAAACAAATCAATTAATTAAAAGGATAAGTTTTTTTTTAGGGAATTAAAAGGATAAGTTTTGATGCACTGTTCCTTACCGACTTTTCTCCCCATGGCCACTGTTCACTAACGCTAGAATTATCTGTGATTTGATTATTAGACCACACATTACATGAGATTTAAGTAACAACATACTATAACAGTATGTAAATTACAAATATATTACATTAATTATATGGAGCATAGAAATTTAATTTGTATATAAATTAAACCACCACATTGTGCAAATCTTCCTCGATTACTAAGGCGCTAATTAAATAAAGCTTATGAAGAGATAGTTATTTCGTATGCATTAGTTAAACACACACACGTATTACGTAGGTCTTGCATAATATAACTTTGAGCATATGAATTCATTAATTATTAACTAAACTATTGATCATCTCACCATTTTTCAATACTCAAGGGTTTTGTAAGGTAAATTATTTGTGTATATTACAATTCAATAAAATGTGTTACTTTTCATACCTTAATTCCTTTATTATTAACTAAAATTTTTTAACACTAACAAAAATATTCACCATATCATCAATATGCAAGGTTTCATCAGGTTTGTTCAATTTTACATAACAGCTTAATCAAATGTATGGCGTTAGTCTTTCCTAATATTTAAGATACTACAAAAAACTTATGAAGGTATCTAACCAAGACAATTTTGTGAATTATTTTATTCATGCTAAATTCAAAAAATAGTTAAAATTTTAAATATAATTAATTTTCTACGGCAGCAAAGCGCAGGCCAAAGAACTCTTTTTCCTGAATTTCTGTTCATGAACAACTAGAGAACTTTGAAGAGCATCTACAGAGAGCTCCTCAATGTCCTTAGACTCCTCAATGGAACAGACCACATAATTGAACCTGTCTGTGAGAGTCCTGAGCACTTTTTCAACAATTTTCACATCAGGCATCTCATCTCCACAGTTTCTCATGGCATTGGCTATGGTCATGATTCTGCTAAAGTAGCTATTCACAGATTCCCCCTCTTTCATCTCTATGATTTCAAAATCTCTTCTTAAAGCCTGCAGATTTGATTTCTGGACCCTAGCATTGCCCTGATATTTTAGCTTCATTGAATCCCATAGATCCTTGGCAGTACCTTTATTGGAGATAGTCCTGAGGATGGACTTGTCAATGGAATTGAAGAGATAATTCTTTGCCTTCAAGTCCTTCAGCAGCTGATCATCTCTTGACTTGGTCTCAACTTCAGATAGTTCTTCTCCCTCCTTCTGTTCTGCCAAACCATCACGAACCACAGGCCAATATTCCTTCGATCGCAGCAGATTCTCCATAAGAAGACTCCAGTGATCATAATCTCCATCAAATCGAGGAAGACCTACTTGAGCAAAGCTCCCTGAATCACTCATCTTGACAGATTCACAACTACTTGACAGTAGTTTGCACTCACCCTGAATTGAATTACCTCACCGTAACTCTCGTGTTTCCCAACCCCAGTCTGTACTATTCAAACAGACTTCTAACTCTATCACTCTTTGCTTGAAAGCACTCGAACACTCTTTGCTTGAAAGCTTTTCTGGTTACAGCTTGCTTGAGCTCTGATACCACAATGTTAACTCAATATGATGCAATCTGACATCTTTATTAATTGACCAATAACGAGATTATAAACCCCTGTGCTTCAGTCTCATCTTGACCTTGCACGATCCCCCACTCTCTCACTTATGGTTCTAACTGAAACGGCGGCGTTTTCCTTTATTCCATTCAAACTTTAAACTTGGCGCCTTAAGTAATCCTTCTCCAGAAAGGATTCGGATTCTTCAAAGCTGCTGCTCCTGTTCAACCTTCAACAGGCACCCCAAAAATACTAGCTAAGCCCAGCCTCATATGATCCTACATTCATTACCAAAGAAATATACATCAACGGTGTAAAGAAAAGAAAAGAAAAGAAGATACAAAGAAAAGAAGGGAAAGAGGCCAATACAGATGACACAACCAGCGCAACGTCTTAAGGAGGAAATATCCAACAAATAGGGGCGGTGTCAGGATTTGAAAGTAGAAGAGGCTAAATTTTTCGTAAGTATTGCAAATAAGAAAACAAGAATAAAATAAATTAGTAAAAATTAATTAATAATATCTCTGATTATAAACACACAATATATTTGAGATAATTAGAATAAATCAAAAATGGAATTCAAACTCAACTTTCTACTACGTTTTGTTCAATAGTCAAGTTAATTACATAAAAAAGTTAAATAGGTATTTTAATGTGTAGCATATTCTTCAATATACTTATAACTAAAAATATGAATGTTCACTTCATTAGTAATGTTTGAAAAAATTTATACAATTATATCCGTGACCATGAACTTAGTTTACTTAGAACTCCATTTGTCGTAATTTGAACCTATTGCAATTAGACACAAAGGTGAATGATTAATGATTACGAAAGCAGATGTGCATATGGGATGGGGAAACCACTTATGAGTAATGACACATGCGTCCATCTTATACTGCTCTAGTGTTGGAACATGGTCTTCCTTCGCAAATATGATTTTAGCAACACCATGTGAATTTAGCAATTTAGTTTGTTGCTTAATTAGCTTACCAGCCATCTAAGAAAATAAGGACGAGCCATGTGTTATATTTCTTAGATTATGACGATAAGAACTTAAATTAAAGAACCACAAAGAGTCAATGTACAAACTCAAAAAAGACACAAGGAAAAGAGCTTATTTTCATTATTTATGAGAATAAGGATCCTTGGTCAAAGAGAAAACTAAACAAAGAAAAGGGCAAGAGACAGCCCCAACAAAAGGTCAAAACATCGACCAGTAGAACCACACAAAACTATTGAAACATACACACATGAGGGAAAAACTACTCAGCCAAAACCATATGAGCAAAGTAATTAGTAAACAACCCTTCAGCTTGGGTTCCCTCAATCTTCCAGGTTGCTTGTAGCCACTGAACCATGCAGTAATGATGTTGAGATTAATTGCTTTACTCGTCTGAGCTCTTCCTTCAAATATTCTGAAATTTCTTTCTTTCCACGAGAACCAACAAATTGCATGTAGAGTATTGAAACTAAACCAGGTTTTTATTATATGTCATTGATTTCATGTGGTGGGATGGATATATATCATATATGGGGGGCAACATTTCAAGTTTCAAATTTTATTAAATAAAATATTGTGTTCCCTGAGTAGTGTAGACCGGGTTTAGCTAGTTTATCTGGGATGGTATGGTGTGGGAATGAGAATTAAATTGTTTTGTCTCTTCACTTCGATGCCAAATCTTTCGCTCATGTCTAGTTCTTCGGGTTTCATTTGGTGAGGAAGCTTCCAGTTGAAATGATAAATCAAATTGGCGAGAGAAAGATAAGCCAAAGCGAGCCCATAATGCATTCCCGGGCACATCCGTCGTCCAGCTCCGAATGGGAGGTAATGGAAGTCGGTTCCCCTGAAATCAACAGAACTGTTGAGGAACCTCTCAGGTTCAAAGACTTCGGGTTGGGTCCAATGGTGCGGATCTCTGTTGATGGCCCATAGATTGACGAAGACCCTTGTCTTTGCCGGTATTTTATATCCATTGACCCTAAGTGTCTCCTTACTTTCTCTTGGAATAGCCAAAGGACCAGGAGGATGCAGTCTCAAAGTTTCTTTTAAAACTAATTGCAGATATTGTAGCCGATCGATAGATGCCTCATCAACCACACCTTTCCCGTTAAAAACTTTCCTCACTTCTCTTTGCGCATTCTCCATGACTCTCGGATGCTTCATGAGTTCAGACATTGCCCATTCGACGGTAATGGTCCACGTATCAGATCCAGCCAAAAACATGTCCTGCAATAATATTATATGTCATCGTCAAGCGATCGATCAATACACAATTAATCGAATTAACAAGTGACTTACGAGGATGACAGCTTTAATCTCAGTGAAGCCCAAGTCGTCAGTGTCTTTAAGATTGAGAAGAACACCAAGAAGATCTTCATCGTCATTTCCACCAGCTGCCACTGTTGATGATCTCTTAGCTAAACGGTCGTTGATTATAGTTTCCATGATAGCATCGGCCGCCGAGTGAACCTTCTTCAGCTTTTTCTCGGCTGCGTTAGCAACGAGTAGGCGCAACAAGTTACTGGAAGGGAAGAGGTCGACAAGGCTGAACCCTCCCAGCATCTTCATGAACTGTTTGATGAACGGCAAGAAAACTTCCTCTTGCTTCTGAATCTTGCCAAAGGCGGCACGGCAGGTGATGGAGTTGCCCAAGGAGAGCATCATCTCAGTGAGGTTGATGGTGGGCTTCGTGCTGATCAGGCCCACGAGCTTCGCCATCTCTTGCTCCATGATGGGCCGCAACATCTTGGTACGTCTGGCGCCCAAAAGCTCCATGGCAACAATTTTCCTCATCTTTGTCCAGTAGGGCCCGTGAGGGGAAAACCCGATGTCTCGGCCGCCGTAGAAGATGATGTTGGCAGCTGGGATGAAGGGCCTGCTGGCGAAGTTGAGATCGTGGGTTTGCATGAACTC